TAGTATAGGGGTTTGTGCAATTTAACATGGGCAGGAAATGTTCCGTCTATTGAACATGGATAATTGAAATTATCACCGACATGGGTAACTTAGAATTGTGAGATAAAACATTACAGATTTTGTCTGACTTAATAGTCCTGGATGGACAAATTTTCATCGTATTTTCGAAATGTATTTGTTGTCTTTTCCACTAAAGTTCCAGCGGCAACAGCAGTCAGTCTATGAACTAAGATACCGGTCAGTAACAGTATGATACCCCAATGCGTTTTGTTTCGATTATTGATAAGGATTATTGTATTTATTCGTTTTACACGTGAGCTGTAGTACTTTTTCTTTTGCTTTCTGTGTTCGACTTATTCTTTGTTAAACTGTTCCCGAATCTGCTGTTTATTTCAGGTATTACTACTTACTTGTTGGTCATCAGTGAACCTGAATTTCACGTTTGTCTTGTCCTGAAAGAATGCTGTAATTATTATTCGTTCTCCTGAGACTTAGACTATTCCTCCTAGCACACTATAGCAGCTGTAATCATTTCTCGTTGGGTATCAGGACAGCTAAGTCAGCGGGTTTAGTTCAGAGATTAGCTGATTGTATGCAGTTGTATCGTCTTGCGCAAAAACTTGATTGAGTTTAGTTACACACATGCGTTTCTGTATTACTAATAATATATTGTGTAAATGTAAAAAAATAAGTCAACGACTGCTTAGAATATCAGGAGAATCATTTAATTTGTTCGAGAGGGCGGGTATATAAGGATGAGAAAAGTATTGTTTCGTTTGAGGCTTGTATCGTCTTGCGCAAAAACTTGATTGAGTTTAGTTACACACATGCGTTTCTGTATTACTAATAATATAGTGTGTAAATGTAAAAAAAATAAGTCAACGAGTGCTTAGAATATCAGGAAAATCATTTAATTTGTTCGAGATGGCGGGTATATAAGGATGAGAAAAGTATTGTTTCGTTTGAGGCTTTATGGGAAGAGATGCTCCTTTGTAGTTTTAGGTGTACTTACGAGGTTACTAACCGTTTCAATAAGTATCAAGTGCTAAAGAATTAGAAGCGATGAAGTTTTCTTACTAAACTGTTACTAAAGTAGCCATGTGTTTGTGGTTTTAAATACTAACTACATTCGACATTTTGTTCACTCTGAAGACAAACTCTACGTAGTACATTTTTCGCTAGTATGTGTACATGCAGTCGTGAAAACTTTCAAGTAATAAAACATTGTCAAATTTCGTCCATTCTGTTGTCCATAACAAAATTCAAATTATCATCTAGCCAATCCCATCTACTCATGATCTGCTTCATATAAACCACATATAAATACGTATAAACGTACTTCTTGACCACTTGCTGACTCATTTACTCAAAAAGGTTTTATTTCCCTGCTTATTTATCGTCCTTGAATTATCTATTATTGAATCGTTTCTCTAAATCTGTATGCATTTTCACGTTTCATTAGAACCAATAGCGTACTTAAGAATTCAAGCGACTAAGTTTAAACTAGTATCTTGATAGGGCGAAACAGATGTCTGAGCTAAAAGGCGACGTTAATAATTAATTAAAGTCGACATTTCGGGCAAGTTCCATTCGTTTTGTAACCAAGTGTACAGAAATAAACTAGTAGATATATATTCACTCTTACGATTCCTATAGTTTATTCTGATGTTTGTACCTTTCTGCAAGGCACATTTCTACTTTGTTTACTACAGAGTACCGAGCACCTGCATTATTCTTGAAATTACTATAATATTTATACTTTTACATTATTGAATTTGCTATTCAAGTTATTATTATCTTTTTTAATTAGGTTGTTTATAGTTTCAGTATTAAATAATTTTATGTGATACTGCAATTCACCTATCATAATTCTTCTTGCTCTTGCCAGTCAACAGTGCTGGTGGGTTGGCACGTCCTCGTGGTTAGCCTGCTCGGAGTACGAATTCGAGTGTTCATGATTCGCGTCCCATTGCCAGAAAAATGCGATTAGCACTTTGGCGCTATGATTGTGTTATAAGAGAAACTGTCAAGTCACACTATTCGATCAGAGAAGAGTAACCTACAGTTGGCGATGGTTATTGTTGACTAATGGTGTTATCTCTAGTCTATCAGTTACAAATTAGGAATGGCTATGCGCAGATAGCCCTTTTATAGCTTTACGTGAGACATATGAAGCAAACTTTGTGTAGGCATAGTCGTCTGACGGAAAACAACTATGATGAGTCCAACACTAAACAAATAAACATCGTAAGGGTCCCCTAGTATCCGCTTTTTAAAGTATCATTAACAACTAATAATAATTAAAGAAAACCATAATTGTAGCGTAAACGATGCTATCATTATCCCTTGAAGTTAGCTTTCTTACAAACATTTGCTGTTCCTTTAAAAATCTTAAGCACAGGGTGAAACAGAAATTACCAGTCAATAATATATAAACAATAAATATTACAGTTGGAACCTCATTGTATTTATAACTTGGTTAGTGTGTCTGTGTCTATTGAAACACTGCATTATAAAAAACAAGTTAAGAAAAAACTTTTCAGAAAAGGAAGTACATGTAGGGATGGCTAATATCAATCCTTCAAAAACAGTGCAAACAAGATATCAGGGATGGTTCTTGCATCATCTCGTTTGCATCATTTTTTATTTCTAAGCTTTCCAAGTAAAATCCATTTTTGCGTATAGGAGAAAAAGAAGAAACTTATCCTCTTATCCCCCCAAAAAAATCCCAAAAATTAATGTAGTCCATTATACTTAGGCGGTATAAGAATTGGTATATGTAATGAGTCATAAATTTTGGGAATGTCTGAAAATATCATAGCAAAAAAGTTTGAATTTTTGTTCTTCTTTCTTCTTCTTTTTTTTTATATATGATAACTCAAAAACCAAAACAATGGTGTCAACCAATTTCACTGAGGTGACATAGTTTCAAACGGATATTGTTATAAAAGTGATTAACATATTAAAGTGATGTTACGTACGCGTACAATTTCAATTCAAAACTACTACATTTAGCTGTCTTCTACCTTTGTGAAAATTCACATAACCTTTATAATCGCAAAAGTGCGGTGATTTTGAATTAAGAAAATGGGTTATTTCTGTGGGGGAGAGGAGGTTATTTCGTAGTTTTACACCAAATTTTTATGGGTAAAACAGAAAAAAAGTAACAAAGTACTTTAAAATACGCAATACTAACAAATACGGTGTTTTTCTTTCTGAAAAGAACTGATGAAGAAGGTTTAAACGTTACGTTTAAATGAAAAATATAATATGGAAACACAAAGAAATGCAGAATGAGTTGTCACTAAAAGAGAAATGTCTCGAAATACAGCTACATATGATATTCAATTACAAATATGCAAAATATTTTAAACGTTACTACTAGATGTTTGCAATTAATTCTTAAATTATATAATTGTTTGAAAAAGTAACTGTACAACAATTTCTTTCTTATGACGTAGCTTATACAAGTAACACTATGTTAGGTCTATCTTGTAGCGTATTCAGAATATTAAAACGTTGAATTAGGGGAAGAAAAATAAATGTTGATTTAAATGATATTCAGTAAAAGTGACACCTCGAATAATATGAAGTGGGGAAAATATCACACCGATAATAATGCAAAGTGGAAAAAAATGACACTGGTAACAAAGAGTGGGAGAAACGTCATACTGGTAATAAGGAAAATATGTTTGTTTTTTAATTTCGCGCAAAGCTACACGAGGGCTATATGCACTAGCCGTCCCTAATTTAGCAGTGTAAAACTAGAGGGAAGGCAGCTAGTCATCACCACCCAGCGACAACTCTTGGGCTACTCTTTTACCAATGAATAGTGAGATTGACCGTCATATTATAACGCCTCCACGGCTGAAAGGGCGAGCATATTTGATATGATCTCAAATTGCGAGTTGAGCTCTCTAACCACTTGGCCATGCCGGGCCAAGAAAATGTGACACCGGTAATAATGCATAGTAGGAAAATAAATGACACCAGTAATAAATAATGCAGAGTTCGAAAAATGATGTCACCGGTAATAACACAAAATTGAAAAAAAAAAAAATCACACCGATATATAATAACGCAAAGTAGGGAAAATTACACTGGTAATAACGCAAAGTTGGAAACAACGAAACCGTTAATAACAGCTCTGATAAAAATTTCACCAGTAATTTCATAAGATGTGAAAAAATGACATTGCTAATAATGACACTGATAAAAATAGCAACAGTAATAATGCAATGCTGAAAAAATAATATTGCGTTAAAAACCATAAATGCAAATTTGCTGTGTTTTTTTTGCGAAAAATAACCTGATTTTTGTGCACCATATTTTACAAGACTCAAATTAAATTATTTAGTTTTTGCACAAAACAATCGGTATAATTTATCAGTTTTTCCTCTTATGAAGCGAAAGTTTGTGGGCTAAAATTATTATTTTTTTTTGAAAAATGAAAGAAACAAAATCACGTCCATATTTTGATTTCAACTTCTTTAAAAAAATAACAACGTGTAGTTACGAGTAATGTTTAAATTTCACTCCACTTTTATAAATATATCAATTGTTTGATCTATCAATGTTTCATATTCAAGTTTGAAAATGTGTTATTAAAAACTGGTTTAAAATCGTATGTAGATAAACTATACATCATACATGAAATACCTTTGTTAGCACTAAAGGTTTTTTTTTACTATATTGAGATTTTCAGTGGCAGTCGACCCTGTTAACAAAGTTGAAAGATTAGTACAAAGAGTTTCAAAAGTTAGGTTTATCTATATATAAATCAAAACGACAGATCTGTCTAAAGTTATTGTACACTTTAAAATAGTATCCACTTGCTTTCTTTTTAACCCTCAGATCCTCGGAGTCTGTCTTTGAATATAACAAATAGAATAGAGCAAAGTTAGTTATAAAAAGCTATTGCGATGAAAGAAACTCCGTGCTGTTATAAACACAGTCTATTACAGGAAATGCGATCTTCCTTCTTCATTAAGCATACTTACATGAATACAGTTACGTAGGCCAATAAATCCTTCTTATCAGTATGCCAATCGCGCCGACATGGACGTATATTTCGATGATTTAACAAGTATCCAGCTCCCAGCTTACTGCAGCAATTTTTCTCGTGCTCGCGTTCTCTCAAAATGTGCTTGACGTCAGAGTTTTGCACGTGCTCCCCGTAATGTCGCATACCTGGTAAAAGATATCGGTCTGGTACGAACAGTGTTTGCTAATTAAATGTTTGAAATTTAGAAGAAAAAAAAATATTTGGAAGACTAAGTATGATAGCGGTAAATTTCATGTGGTGGGCAGAGCATAGATAGCTCATTGTGTATCTTTGAGACCAACAACAACTCAACTGTACTTAATGGCGACAAATAAAAGTATCTTTTGTTCAGGATTTCAGATTTTAGCAAAGCAGAAATATAAACATTTAGTTCATGTTGTTGTTGTTGTTTGTTATTAAGCACAAAGCTACACAAAGGGCTATCTGTGCTCTGCCCACCACGGGTATCGAAACTCGGTTTCTAGCAGTATAATTCTGCAGACATACCACTGTGCCACTGGGGGCGCATTTAGTTGAAGTATAGTTTATGGGTATTTTTATCTTTATTTCACGAAATACTTCCTCTAAATCTAAAATTTATTTATGTGAATCGATAAAAAAATATTTTGGTTTCTGCATTTTTAACTGCATACACGAAAGTGCTATTTTCTTTAACAAACTTCGGTAAGAAATAGTCTGTCTTTTACATCATAAATGAAATTTAACATGCAGCTGAATTTAATTTATTTCCTAACTTATTAGATCAAATATCATTGAACCTCATTCAAAGCTTGTTATACACTCCTTTGTCGGCCCGGCATGGCCAGGTGGTTAGGGCGCTCGGCTCGCAATCCGAAGGTCGCGGGTTCGACACGTTATAATGTGACGGTCAATCCAACTATTCGTTGGTAAAAGAGTAGCCCAAGAGTTGGCGGTGGGTGGTGATGACTAGCTGCCTTCCCTCTAGTCTTACACTGCTAAATTAGGGACGACTAACGCAGATAGCCCTCGTGTAGCTTTGCGCGAAATTCAAAACAAACAAACACTCCTTTGTTAGATATTATCATTCCAGCATAAATATTATAAATTTTTAAAAATTTACATGACAGAGACAACAGTTTTATTATTTTTATGAAACAATTTTACTTTATTACAATTTACCTTTCTAAGTTTTTCATTAAATCTCCTGAAAGACATATTAATAATTATATAGGCAGAAATTAATTACATAATTTATATATTCCATTTACAATTTGAAATATAAAAACGATATCTCTGACACAGTTCTTACATAAAATAATTTAAAAACAAATTATCATTTTCCTGTTTGTTTGTTTGTTTTGGAGCAAAGATACATTAGGCTATCTGCGGGGGGACCGAACCTCTCATTTTAGCGTTGTAAGTCCATAAACTTACTGCTGTCCCACTGTGAAATATATATTTATATTTATGTTTTTGTGTTCGTTTCATAAATAGTTATAACTTAAAGATATAATTCTTATAAAAATCAAAGTTCTACGGAGGGTTAGTACGTTATATTAAACATGATTTTGAATATGCAAACCAGTTTGTCACGTGACAACCAAAGCTGATATAAAGCCTCAGTGAAACGGAATGTATCAGGACTACATTTTTCCATTGTTTAGCATTGCGTAGGTAGTGAGATGACACCATAAACTGGTCGTGTTTTGAAGGGTATGTAACAGTTCTTCCGATGCAAAATATTCATAAACTCAAATCCTAAAGATGTGTTCAGATGGAGGATTTTGAATTTCCAAGAAAGGGTGTCTTTTTACTTAATGGCATTGGAAGACAAAGCCATACCGGTCAAGTCGCCTGTAAGTTTTATGCTATCAGACTGTTGAAACGAGCGCTGGAAAACAATCAACCTTGTTTACTAAATGATTAATAGAAAGAAAGCAGGATTAATGGTGTGCTTTTGACATGACAGTATTACAACGGAGTCTTTGACAGTGGAAACTACGCTTCAAGTCTGTTGTTAAGATGCATAGTGCTGCCAGATAGAGCATAATCGTACAAAGGATCATGGACTGTAACGACGTGGTTAGGCCGAAAAATCGTTTTAACGTAACGAACTCAACTATGAGCAATCTGGATAAAAAATACTCAAAGTATTAGAAATAGTAAATTTTCCGATTGGCACAATCTATTTATGTCCTATTTTGCCTTTTATAAAATTATGTTAGTGTTCTAAAATTATCCTAATGTTTTTCTTAGATAATTATCATTTTATATAGGAGTTTTTTTTTTTAAGATCGTGCTTTTGTTTCAAAATTATAGGTATGCTTTATATCTTATATGACACTATTCGTTTTCAATTCTAATTATGTTTGATTTATTCTAGTATTTTATAATTCTTATTCTGCTTGCTTTCTTAAATTGTTTTAAGGTTTTAATTTCTTGTTATGCATGTTTTTTTCTTACGTAATATTAATGATTTATAATTCTAATTATATTTGATTTGTTAAATAAAGCTAGTGTTTTATAGTCATGTTTAATTTCTTGATAACGCTGATTTTTTATAATATTAGCCCTCATGCTTTACTATCTAAAAATTACACAAGTGGTCTTTGAGAGTGCAAAAATGCAAACCAGTATATTATCAATATATATAAAAGTCAAGTGTCAGTCGGTCAATCAGTCGGACATGCTCGATTTCTCCGAATTTCGTGAGTTACACAAGTCCAATTCCACTTTTTCTCCTATATGTTTTGTTTTTAATTATGCACAAAGCTACACAAGGGCTATCTGTGCTCTGCCCCCACGGGTATCGAAACCCGGTTTCTAGTGTTGTATGTCCGCAGACATGCCGCTGTGCTACTGGAGGGGGGGCTTTTTTCTCCTATAATACTTCCTCTTTTGACTGCCCATTCTCATTTTAGTTGAATATAATCGTTAACATTTGGGACTTTTTCTGCTATATAAAAGCCTGTCAAGGAGGGAGTTCCCAGGACCAGATCAGGCATGGTGTTATGTGAGTAATACCACATAATTATGACATCATTATGACGTCAAACTAGGTAGGATCCGAATAAGGAAGCCGGTAAGACTCCTGTAAAAGATAAGTAAAAAACTAGCACAAACCTATGCATGGGAATTAGTACGTAAAAGCCTTTGTTAAAACAGACCGAAAATACCAATTATATGTAGGGAAGATGACGACTTTTCCTCAGAAGAAAAACAGGTATGTATGCAATCACATGGTTATCGTATGTTTTAATCTTTTATCTAAAGGCAGCAATATGTAGCAAACAAAATCACGAATATCAAATCTTGTACTTTTTTAGTGCAATCTGCAAGAAACAATGAATATATTTTCATTTTCATTATCAGGTTACACAGTTGATAAACTGTAAAGCAATACACAAAAGAAATATAAAATTCCTTTTTCCAGGCACATACTACACATTGCTTCTGAATCCACTACATATAACTGACCAAACATGCTATTTTATATTTATAGGTTTGTTGAGTATAGTGAGAACAGGAACTATGTAACGAAGAGAAGTATCCATCCACTAAAATCACTGGAAACGAAGTAAACTGCACCCTCTAGAAAAATCACGATTTTTGATTGGAAATTAATCATTAAGATATTTGAAAAGTAAAAGCACTGCAGTAAAATTTAACAATAAACATCGATTTTAGACTACAATCAGATTGAATTATTACACAGGAGACTGAATATTTTGTGACCAGAACAAACATGTTTGCAACAGGTCATGCAGGTCTTAGGGCTCTCTCTCCTCTTCCCTGGGGAATAAGTGCCATTTACCCTGATTACCAGCCGAACGCCTTCCCAGAGCTGGTTGTGTGTTTGAAAGATAGCTGCTTCAATATATCTATTAAGAACTGACGAAGCAACTGGAGTTTCTCCAATCTTTACTGACTCAAGTCATAGACCAATGTACAATTTAGCTCCACTAGAAATTTCAGATGAAGACGTGTTGATTCTGATTCCACCTGTTTTCAATCACGGTTGATGCGCAGCCAGATTACGAGTGCCCAAAAATCAATGATGATAGGAAACAGCACCATTGACCATCATTTGATCTTACACCTGCAAGTAAAAACATATACAAAATGTTCCACACACCTCTGCTTCAGACGATTTGAATGCTGAGTATACCATTCTCTATAAGCTTGCTCAGCTTTTCTGTTTGTTTCTAATATTATAATGGGGATTATATCATAAGATATGTACAGCTAAAACGTTTCCATGGTGTTTGTTCTTTTTAATTACTCCTGTTACATCGTGATTATTTCAAATAAACTCTTATCTTCGCCTTTTGTGTTGTACGGTCTGCTGTACTGATCAAACATTCCCATTCCGTTCTATTATATTTCTTGCTGACCTTCAGTTTGATCATCACCTTGAAGTACCTGATCTAAAGCTTTATCCCTTCGTCCTTCTCTTCTATGGCCACGCTCATGACCTTCTCTTCAAATTAAGACTCATCTGTAGGCATAAACTCGTCATCACTGTCATAGTCATGATGTGCTGACAAGGCATCCAATAACGACGCTTTCTTCTCATATCATAGGAATGAAAGCAAACGATTTTACTGACGACATTCTGAATCAAAGCCAGTTCAAAAACGTAACGCTCGTTTACCCACTAAACATAATTGGCCTTTCCTAAGATATTGTTCTTGGTAGAGCATATATTTAAATAACATAACAGGTGCATTCAGAAAATATATTTGGTTGTTTCAGAAAGCAATACTTTTAAACAAGAATACGTAGAAATGTTAATATTATTCTCTCAACAATTCATAAGTGATTCCATTTATGAATAACAGAATATCAAAAAAGGCAAGTTAGCATAATAAGATTGAAAACTGCTTTACTGTACCAACTGCTGGAAAGAAAATAGGATTAGTGTTCTAGCATCGGCAGGGAGGTAATTAAAATAACATGAATAAGAAAGAAAATAACAAGTTATGTAACGTCAAGTTTCATTAATTGAACAAGTAAGCATAAAAAACAAAAAGCGAAGAAGATACATACGTTACATGA